TTCCCAACATTTCTCTGTGACAAGGCAGAGAGCCATCTGCACTAGGACTGCGTCACACAGCTGGGTGTCCTCATCAGGCTGCACCTTTGGAAAACAAAGGCATATCTAAGGGCAATAGCAGAGCCTACCAAATGCAGCCTTTACCAAAAAGCTCTTCAGACTTGCAGACCGAGCCTTTTAAAACTAGGCAAAACCAGGGTGAGCTGCTGACACATCACTAGAGCTTTGTTAGCACTTTTGAGCAATCCAGGTCTGCCTGCAGTGGCTCAGCCACCACCCACACTGTGGTGTGTCCCTGGTGCCATTGTCACCAGATCCCTGAGAGCCCTGTCCTTGGTTCTCCCAGTTTGTTGGCCCTTAGCCACTACAAGTTTCAGTATGTGGCTTACTGACTCTGGAAGGCTTTTTGGTGTCCCCTGAAGGTGTTTGAGCTTTCTGGGAGAACATCCAAGCTTTGAAGGAATTGCTTCCAGGGTTTTTTTGTTGGTTGTTTTTTCTCTCTTTCCACGTTGTAATGTATTCTAAATCCCTATTTTAGGACTCTAGGCTTGGGACAGAAGTGTGTAGCAGAGGAGGCAGATTGTGTTCTCACCCCTCTCTGCCCCACCTGTGGCAAGTGCAGGACAGATGTGCTGCTACCTACTGCAGATTTGTGGTTCTTCTGGCTCCCTGCCCTCCCTGTCCTCCCCCTGCCCTTTCTGTTCCCTCCCCAGGGCCTGTGAGCCAGGAATCCTACCTTGCACCTTGGAGACAAAGCCAAGGCTGCGCTTGAGGTCGGAGCAGATGGAGTGGAGGCACCAGCGGAACTTGGCGTCGCAGCGGTACTTGTTGGCCCCGCAGGTATCGTAACAAACATCCAGCTGGTTGCAGCACTTGGTCATAGCAGGGATGCCCAAATCTAGCTAGGGAGAGGGAAAACAAGTGTCCCTTGGCTGTGTCCTGGCCTCAGACTCACCCAGCTGCAGCTGGGTGGGGTGCTGCAGAGCCCAGCTGGCTCCTGGGCCAGAAGGGAAAGGAGCCCCAGCTGTCAGGGCCAGCAGGAGGGAACATGCTGCTCCCTCAGCATCAACACTGCAGGTTCAGTGCAGGGTTATCACATTCCCTTCTCCCCTCTCTGTCCTGGGGGATTAACCTCTGCTAAGAGGTGGGACATAGCTCCTCTGCGACCATTTGCTAGTTTGCATTTGTCAGAGCTCATCAAAACACTTCCTGTCCTTGCCAGCAGTGGCAAAGGCTCCTTTTCTCCTTCCTCCTCATCCCACAACCTGACAGATCCTGTTTTTTGGCCTAATAAACCTGCCATAAGTGTTTTTAGTGCCTTATTTCTCAGAGATGCCCTTGTGAGGCCAAGGACAAACACAGTGTGGTCAGGGGAGTTCTGCTTGCCTGGAGTAAACAGCAAGCTTAGCTAATGACCATGGGGCTGATGGGGCAGCAGGCCTGTCTCCTGAAGAGACTGAGCTCGTTAGCTAGTTATAAATTATTCCTCTTTTTTGGCCTGCCTCATGTAACATTTAGGAGATGAATTGTTCCTTTGTTGCACTCATGATTGCCTGTGTAAGCAAGGAATGCCCCCAAGGTTTGCAGTGAAACCGAGTTTAAGAAACTACAGGTAACATGAAAAATGGGCTGCAAAGAGAAGGGTTTCAGAGCAGGAATCTGTCTAATTGTTGCAGACTGCATGGGCAGCAGTCCTGCATGAGCTAAATAGGAATTCCTTCTCTGAGTGGCTCCTGGGGGTGCTCTTCCTGGTGAGTCCAATATGATTTCATTAATTGCCTTTAAAATAACAAGTGGGTGCAGTATTAAAGCCCATGGGTTTCATTCAATGCTTGGCAGAGGTAAAAACATGGGAGGCGATGAAGGGCCAGGAATGGAGGACGCACTCAGGTATTGCTGTGTGCACATGTGCTGTGTCACTGAGCTGCCCAGCACTGAGTATGTTCCTGCTATGTGGCATAACTCAGCCTGTTCCCTCCCCAGAACTATGAGCTGGTTATGTGATTAGAGAGCTGCATCATTGGTCAGGCACTGTATTGCTCAGGGAGGTGGTGGAGTCACCATCCCTGGAGGTTTTTAAGAGGTGTCTGGATCTGATGCTGGAGGCTTTGGTTTAGAGGTTAGAGCAGTGACAGGTTAATGGTTGGACTTGATGATGTTAGAGGTCTCCTCCACCCTTGCTGATTCTGTGATCGAATGGGAGTGGTGTGGCAGTACATACACTTTCTGGTACCTTGAGCCCCAGAAAATTGGAGCTACAGCCGTTGGGTTCTTGGGGCTTGTAGTGAGGTCGTGGCATCGGAGCCTTCCCTGAGGGAGAAAGGACAGATGTTAGGAAAGCTGATCTTCACAAGAGTAGCACCACAAAGCAAGGAGTGACAGGCAACTCCCATTTGGTCTGCATCCCCAAACACTTCATACCTGTCCAGGAGATGCAAGAAGGATAGAGCTGGCTGAGTCCCTCTCTCAGCTCCGCTCTGCCAAGGCTCTGCAGCCTGGCTTAGCTCACTCCTCCTCTGGCTACTGCAGGGAGCACTGTGTTGTGCATGAGCTGGGTCTCGTGTGCCTCTCAAATGGTTAAGCTGCTCCTTAGGTGTGGGACACTCCCAGCGCAAGTCCCTCTCTGCAGCATGGGGATTTGCAGTGGAGCAACACACACTCCATGCTGGAGCTAGTGTCTCACACCTCCCACATCTCCTAGGGGCTTTCCCATGTGCATCTTGAGAGCTCTGCATCATCCAGCTGGGGTTTTCACTCCTCCAAGAAACTACTGGTTACACTGCTGGCTTAACAAGGGGTCTCTTTCCATAGAGTCATAGATTGTTAAGGGGTTGGAATGAGCCTAGGCAGGGATACCTCCCACCAGACCAGGTTGCTCAAGGCTCTAGCCAGCCTGACTTTGTACACTGCCAGGGTTGGAGCAGCCACAGCCTCCCTGGGCAACCTGTGCCAGTGTCTCACTATCCTCAGTTCATTCTTGAAGTGTTGGTGTCCTATGGATCTCCACAAAATTGTGCTAGACCTTGTGTGTCTGATCTTGCTATGAGCAGGTCTTCTTGGTCCATTTTCAGCACATGGTGATGCACTGCCACCTTTTGCAAATCATTTCTATTCCTTTCATCCCTGCACCCCACTCAGTATCCTTCTTAATATGCATAAAGGAGCAAGAATTCCCCCTGTGAATAATTATTTACCCAGTGCAGAAAGAGTCCAGCAAACAATCAGCCCTGGCAGTAGCTACAGCAGCATTTTAATCCGACTTACTTTGCTTTGAAGGTGTGCAGCCCCTCCTGGGTGCCTGCCAGCTGTGCTGGGGCTGACAGAGTCGCTGGGTGTGAGAGGTGACACAGGGTTACAGAGAAACAAGCCATGTGGAAAGGAGATGATTCCCTGCTCCATCTCACTCTCTTTCTCCCATCCCTACCTCACCCCCATCTCCTTCTGACCTAACACTTCTTGGCTGGGGAGGTGGAGCCTCCAGGCTGCTTGTGTGCCTTGGTCCCCTGTGCAAGGAGTGTGTCTAAAGGTAGGAGAGGATTCTCCTCTGGAGAAGTCATGGAGAGCACCCCTCATGGAGCTGAGCTTCTTTGTGCTGTCCCTCCAGGTGTGCTCAGTGCTTGTTTCTGTCCCAGCTGGGTTTATGAAAGGGAGATCTGTGCAGAGTGAGGTGCTAAGACATTTATCATAGAGTATCCTGAACTGAAAAGGACCCACTAGGATCACCAGTTCAGCTCTTGGCCCTGCACGGGACATCCCTGTGAATCCCACCATGTGCCTGAGAGCATTGTCCAAACACTCCTTGAGCTCTGTCAGTCTTGGGGCTGTGACCACTGCCCTGGGGAGCTGTTCCAGTGCCCAGACACCCTCTGGGAGAAGAACCTTTTCCTGATATCCAACCTAACCCTCCCCTGACACAGCTCCAGCCATTCTCTGGATCCTGCCACTGCTCTGGGAAAACCTTGTAAGCTGTGTGACTGCTCCAACATGTGTGAGCTGAGCCTGCTGTAAGTCCATCACATCAAGGGTAAAGTTTCTGCTTCCCTGAGCACTGCTGGGGAATTTATACAGACATAAAATGGATCTAATTCAGCCTTCCACGCAGGGTTGGGTTCTTTTAAACTCCGTTTCCACTGCTTTCTTCTTGTCAGCACCCGTAATTATTTAAGACTCTTTCTCCTTTTTTCTGTTAGCTACCTAAAATGCCAGTGATAAATATAACCATAAATCTTCTGTGTTCTTGAGAAGACCTTACAGCCAAATGCCTCAAGAGGACTTAAGTAGGAGTGTTCCCAGCACCTTCTCAACTGAAATTGGCCAGAGCTGTTTTGTTTAAATAACAGATTTGTAACAAATGAACAACAAACTTGAAATCCTGTCCAGCTGTGAGATGCCGATTTTCCCCTTCCAAGAAGGGCCTAGTTGCTCTTTTGGAATGGAATGAGAGTTGGGACTTGGAATTCAAATGTCCAACTGAGGTAGGAGGCAGAGAAAAGCTCAACATCCACATTAGGTGCTGCAGGATGGAGTCAAATGTGAATGACTTGCTTGTGATACTGGTGGTAAGTTATGTTCCTGCAGTACATGGCTGCTTAATGGGATAATGTGGCAAGTCAGAGTAGCAGTGGGACTGTTTGAGGATAACTGCAGATAACTGTGCTTCCAGAGCAAACCATCCATGGAGCTGAAGTCACAGCTATTACAATGCCTTAGAAAGTTGTCCTGAGGTGGGTTGTCTCTCAGGTGAAAATTGTGATAAACAAAACTGCCTTGAAGATGAGCCCTTGTAGGAAAGCTCTGTCCCTTCCTCTCTGCCAAACAGAGCTTCATAGTGCCTGAAGTGCCCCTTGGTGAACCCTTTCTCAGGTAGATCAAACCCAAGACACCACAATTAGCCCCTCTCTTCTAGTTAAGAGGAAAACAAAAGCAAAGCAGAACTACAATCACTCCTGACTCTACACAAGCATCACTCCATGCTCCTGTTATCACTTATTGCTTAGCCATCCTTGCAGACACATCTGTTACAGAATGTGGCAGGTCACACAGGCTATGTCTCACCAGTCCTGCTCTGCCCTGTAGGGCACAGCTGGGGACAGATGCCAGCCCAGCCCAGCAGAGTGCAGAAGGTCCATGCTGAGGGGCAGCTGCACAGCACTGCTGAAGAGACCTGTTCTGCGGAAGAAGATCTATTTCAGGGCACTGCCTTGTTGGCACAGCCTTAGAACTGAAGTTGAGCTTCTAATGGGAAGAGAGTTCCCCTGGTGCGTTTGAATATCTCCAGGCTGTCGTGGCTGTTCCAGGAGCCTGGAAAGCAGCCAGCTGGCTGGAGCAGCTGCTGGCCATGCAGGAGGTCTCAGACTGCAGCACTGGCACATTGGCAGGGGGAGATGAGTGTATTTCTGGGTGAATAGATGATCTTGGGGCTTCTTGCTGGTTTGGGTGGTCCATTGTCGTTTCTGTGCCCCAGGCAGGCTTTGAGCAGGGCTGCCTGTACTCAGCACAGCCTTTCACTGCAGTGCTGGAGATCCTTAAAGGCTCTTTTCCCACACCCTCCTCATCTTAAGCCCTTCAGGACCAATTCAGGGCAAAGCACTGAAGTCTTGCCTGGCCAGGCAGCTGCAGGAAGTTACAAGGGCTTTACTCCCAGCTCAGACTCTTTGTTTCCCCTGAGATGCCCAGAGAGACTTTGTAAGCAGGAGGAGACATTTGCCAGTAAATGCTAGTGTAACCCTATGTCCTGATTTAAGGGAGTAATCAATCAACTTGTTTGTTTTCAGACCTCAGTAGCTGCTGAAAAGAATAGGAGGAGAGTCTTGCAGCCAGGACAGCCAAGTGCCCTGTGCACAGCTGAGGATGGATGTGGCAATTATAGGTGAGTCTTGACCTTTATCAGGACAAAACAAGCTATTATTGGTATCTCTTGGCTGAAATGAAACAAAGTAGAAGGCATCATTTCTGTTTCATGCCTGGGGAAAAAGCAGTCAGCCCTGATTCAGCACAAAGATGGTTTGTGCTCATTCTTCTGGGCACAGACTGGATCTTACTGGCTTGGGATCAGCCCAGCATCTCTCCACTTGCAGTTTGCAATGTCTGTACTGGAGAATAGCACAGACAAATGGTCCTGGAAGGGTCCAGCAAAACCCTTGGAGGCATGTGGGCAGCGTTACAACAGCTTCCTCCTTCAGCCAGTGGTTAATGAGTTGTTCAGCACAGGATGAGAACTGGGCTAAGGATGTGCCTATTTTCCTTTCTAGGTAAAACATTGCTCCAGTAAGACCCAGGATGCTCTCAGGGAATGGGCAGGGATTTGTGTTTCTCTGTGGAGATGGTCTTTGCAGGGACAGGGAGAGCCCAAGCCTCAGGATATGTCCAGAAGCAATGACTTCTCCAGGATTTGGTGAGTCCTGAGACTCCCTGAAACCAGCTCTGACTATCAGCCTTGCCTCAGGCACACTGCAGCCCCAGTGACGTTACACCCACTGCCAGTGTTTGCAGTCTCTGCAGTAAGAAGGGCAAGTCCCTTTCTGCTTTGAATTTGGAGTGTAGTGTAGACCTTCAGAAGGTTGTCACACAATGTGGGGCTGCCAAACAGTGAGCATGGGGGCATGGCCTCACCCTGTGTGCTGGGGTGATGCTCTGGGGTGTTTGTGGGTTGCTTCCTCCAGACGCTCGGACACACATGGCCCTCCTGAGCTGCTGCAGAGAGGTAGCCCGAGCTGGGGGTGCTGTGGGGCCCTGGGCTGAGGCACCAAGGCCATTGTGGGACTGAGGTGATGGGCAGAGGTGCCTGACTCCCTCCATTCCATGGGGCTGAGGTGCCTGGTGTGCTTCTCCCTGTTTGCTGTTAGTGTGGGGTTTGGGGAACAGAGCTGGCAGGAGTGGGAGGACAGATATATATACATTATTTGGAAACAAAACAAAAGAACCCAAACAATTTTTAGACTGATTTTAACCTCTTCGTGTCCCCACTTTGGCTAAGCATGACCCCTCTGTCCTCTCCCCCTGGCAGGAGCTCAGGTCCCAGCCCCACAGCATCTGTTTATCCCAGAACCCTGGCTGCTGGCCTGGGAGGGACAGGAGGTCCGTGGGATGCACAGACTGAAACAGAGCCAGTGGGATCTCCCCAAAGCATGAAGTCTGTCTATGAAAATCAGTGCTCCAGGAAGGAGAGGGATTGAAATCCCTCTGTGCCCACCAAAAATCTTCCCAGGTGATCAAAGGGGACATGAGATGGGGAAAGGGACTGGCAGGCTGTGGTGGATGGACAGGCTGAGGTGACAGAGGACGAGATATTGCTGTGGGGACAGTTGTGGGAGGCTGAGGAGAGGAGACAGACAGGTTGGTTGAGCAGGTACTGTGCTGGTGGCTGGTGCTGCCTGTGCCTCTGTCTGCCCAGTGCCCCACAGACCTGCAGCTCTGTGTGTGCGCCCCATGTCCTGCCCAGCCTGTGCTCCTCCTGCCCTGCTCTCCCAGAGATGTTACCCCCTTGTCCTGTCCAGGACAGACCAAACTCTTCCTTTTTGGCAAATCCCTTTAGTCCAAGGCAGCAGGAGCTGCCTCATTCCACCCCGAGTACTAAAGGTTCCTCGGCGATGACGGCAGGTCCCGTTTGCCTCCCTGTTATCTCCCCTCCTCCAGCCCACGGCGCTGGCCAGCTCACAACTGCTGAATAAGGACACTCCCAAGGTTGCTGAGATTAGAGCCTCTGGCTCTGCCTCCCCGCCGGGGCCTCTGCCTGCCCTGCTCCTTCTCTCCGGGGTCCAGCAGCTGTGCAGGCAGGGCACCTGTGTGCTCTTCCTGTACAACCTGAGTCTGCTCCTCTTGTCCCTGTTCACACAGCACTGTGCCTTCCAGGCCAGGCTGTTCTTGGGGAAGGGGAAGGATTGAGGGTTCAGTGTCTCTGTGCTGGCACTGGCAGAGAAGCTGTGACTGCCAAGCACAGAGGGGTCAGGTCACGGGCAGGAGGAGCTGGTTGTGCTGTCGGGGAAGGAGAGGCTGTGAGAAGGAAGGAGGGGAAGGCACAGGGGAGAGAGGAGCCAGCAGCAGTAAGGTTCACTTACCATATCGACACCTGTACTGGCAAACCCCATTTTTGCCCCCAAGCAGCTCCAAGAAGGAGTCGAAGTAGCTGTTGACGGTTTCGAAGCCATCACGGATGGTCTCGATGCCCCAGTCGGAATAGGATGACTCTGCCTGTGCAGCTTGGTGGCCATTGTCCTCCTGTGCTGCTTCCTCAGTGCACTTCCCCAAGGCCAGGGTGAGGCACAGAACTGCTGCCTCGAGCAGCAGCCGCATGCTGCAGGCCAGGTCTGGGCCCTGGAGTCCCTGGCCGGGCAGCTGCAGGCAGGAAGGAGTGGGAGAGAGCTGGATGTGTGCAGGAGCAGGTAAGTACCTCTCTGCCTGGACTTTAAACACTGCTGAGGTCACTGCTGTCAGAGGGCAAAGTGCAGCAATGAGGAGATTTGGACCCAGTTCACCTCACAGAGAAACCCCCGAGTGTGAGTTTGCACAGTCCTACTAGAACAGGCTCAGCCTTCAAAAGGGACCTGTCCCTGGGGTGCTGAGCAGGGTCTGTCTGCCCAGGACCCCCCAGGGCACTGCATGGGTAACCTCACTCCTTCTCCAACCTGTCAGGAGATGAGGAGTAGCTCTGTCCAAAATTTCTGCTGCTCAGGCAGTAGATCAGCTGCAAAGAAAGCACCCCATGCCTTTTCCCTAGGCATGTGATGGGGTGGGATGAGACCTCCCCTCAGCCTAGCTGCTGGGGGGATTGCTCCTAGAAAATCTTGTGGAACCACAGAGGGTTGGACGGGTTGATCCAGGAGCTCAGAGTAGTTCGGGGTTACAAACACTGCATTCAGGGCAATTCCTTGGCATCACCTCCAGTTCCAGGATCAATGTCATATATGAGTATTTGCCTTTGATGGGGCTCCTGAAGGCTGATGTTACAGGTCCTGGCTCTGGGGTGGGCTAGGCTGCCAGGGCTCAGAAGGGTCTGCACAGCTGGTGGAGGGTTCAGAGTTACTCATTAAAAGGAAAACAACCAGATGAACACCAGCAG